ATCTAAAAATGGAAAACCTCTACAAATACAACTGCATTACTTTTAAATGCTAGATTAGATATAAGCACATAAACATACAGTATGGGTAGTTGACAATGGTAGAAAATGGGATAATTTAGGTTAATATTAAAAGAAAAAAAAGAAAAGAAAAAAAGTGTCAACATTCAATCACCTTTTTACCATCAACTTGCTGCAGGGTTATTATTAACTTAAACTATACATTTTCATGACTTATATGAAATAAAATAAACATAAACTGAAATGAAATATATAAAAAAAAATTTTTTTAATTTTTATATCAGCTAGTTCCAAAAGCAACATTTCTCATTTTCATTTAGTTTACTAAAATAACCATACCACTAAAATGTAAAAACGAACAAAATTGCCACAATTTTAAAATTAAAACAAAATATAACTGCTTGACATTTTAAGTCATCCTCAATAAGGCAAACATAATACAACAAATAGACAAACATTGAAATCTTTATTTTTGTTTTACTACATATTCACAAACAAGATCTGATATTGCATGGAAATTACCATTCTGTAGGGCTGAACAATAGAATATAAAAGAAAATCAGGTTAAAAAAATTTAACAGAACAATAAAAAAAAAAAATACAATAGGAAGCTTTTTTCAATATGGAAATATCATGAAAGATGGAGATGAAAGTGTTGACAGGCAGGTCGACACAACATCTTACAAATACACACACGGTTCTGACAAGAACAGTGAAATATTATTTTTTAACAAAACAAGCCTATTGCCGGGAATGTAACATTATCTGTACATACGTGCATAAACAAAAGTACATAATTAGTCTTAAAACAACCTAAACCCTTAACATCAATTCAATAAACAAACTATTAAACCTATTACCTACAAATTTTCACACAAAAAAGATCAAAGTATTAAGGCACTATTTTAAATCCCATTACACGTTTTCCCCAGTCAACGTGTTCCCTTTGACATGAACACAACCATTACAAGTTTATCACTGCCCTATTTAAAAATGAAGCACATTTGTCTAACAGTGCTGCTGGTTAACTGTGTTGTAGGCAGAATACACTGGCAGTTTGGTAATTGTATTAAGCAAAAGTCTTTGTACCTATGGCATAGTTGATTGTTCTGTTCTGTTGTATGTGTTCGTTTGTTTTGTACTTCACTGTAGCGGTCTTTAAAGTCCAGGGCAAGTTATATGTCAACAACCAATAGTAGAACTGCACAACTGGTCAGTTATACCAGAGGAACGTCCTCCATGATAGCTAAAAAAATTAGTTTTTAAAGGCTAAAACCAAAACGAGGTGTGTTTATCTATGGCTTGTATAAGAAAAGGTCAGTCACAGCCAATTAGACTACACAATACTGATATCCAAGTGTTTTTGGTTTGGTACACGTGTTCATGAATAAGGACAAATCTGATGGTATGAAATGACTGTGTTCAGCTTTCAGTATCTTGAAGCGCCGGCATTGTAGTCTACTCTCCCAGGATCAGGAAACAGTCCTCCATAAAATGTGCTGCACACAAATGAATATTTGGGTTGAACTGTTCTGGAACAGTGTTGTAAATACAACTTAACCACTGATTTTTAGTCGTGTCCTTTTTTGGAAGGCCAAACTAAGTAGTTTCGCTATCACAACGAAACACACGGCGGGCTAGAGTGAGCGGCGGCCGGAGGCCTAGAGTCAGCGGAGGCCGGCGGCTAGAGTGAGCAGAGGCGGCGGGCTTGAGAACGGCTGGTGGATTCGACGAAGGAGCAGCCGGCGGGCTTGCAGCAACCACATTTGACGACCCCGGGCTTGACTCTGCTTCGTTCACAGTGAAAGCCGATCCGGCGATCCACAGCGAAGTTGATGTATTCCCTCAGCGACCAGCACGGATCAGCTCTAGGCATGACGAAGCGGATATCGTCCTCTTTTGGAAGGCCAAACAAAGTAGTTTCGCTTTCACAACGAAACACACAGCACCTTCACGACATGGCGGCAGCAACAATTCTACAGCGAGAATAAAAGTTACACCTTCTTTCCTTGCGTGAACATTTGGGCGGTGTTATGCAAATCTTCCCACATCGTGACGTAGACATGTGGGGGCGTGTTAGAATGAGCCATTTTAGATGGGCATGGCTGACTCTTAACTTTTATAAAGAATATCTCTTTGGATTTGAGACTTTAGTCTTTGCAATTTTACAGACCTTCTTTATGCACCAAGAGCTAGTAAACCCTTCAAAGAGAAAGGAAAATTTGAAATCGCATCATATGACCCCTTTAACCTGCAGTTACAAATGCATAACATTTTTTTTGATATTTGAAACATAAAACATTAAAAACTGATGTTTGAAATTATTTAAAAAATGAAACGGTACCTTAAATGTGAAATTAAAACCGCCAGTAGGTGGCAGCAAGTCACCGTTAAGTGAGTAATTGCGATTGAACAGAATCATTTAAACGGTTGATTCATTCAGGAACAAAACAGCGTCATGTTGCTCAGTGACGCAGAACAGCGCTGTGGCTGTTTGGAATGATTTTTGTTGGAGAAATAGAGCAAAAACAGGAAATATGGCGTCTAAAACGTAGTCTAAGTCTCTTAATATTAACTTCTTGTTTATTGAACCGTTTTATAAAATCAGTATCACATTTGTAATCATGCTGACTTTTGGAGAAAAAAACTGCACTCTTCGTGTGATATTAACAATATGAAATGATACAAATATATACATTTTCTGCCCCATATCTTGAATTATATAATTCTAAATGCATTTTAATAGACTGATTCATGCAGTGAAAGAACGCACTATAAATGCACACACACGCTAGTCTAATCTACTAGACTTCATCATGTAATGTATGCGCACACTCTGTAGGTGTTTTGTTTGCTTTTCGCAATATACTTGATAATATCAAATCGCACATCATTAAAACAACAATTACGATATTATCGCAGACTAGGGGTCGACCGATTATCAGCGCCGATATTAAACATTTTTATGATTATCGGTATCGGTCATTTTCAAAACCGATTCGCCAATAAAATAACTTCATTTTGAAACGCGCTATTTGGCTCTGATGCAGCCTGTCAGAACTCACCACTCTGTGGCCTAGAGCAATCTCCTCCCACTGCCCATCTGATTTGTTGGGAGTCACGAGTCCGACCAATCAATGCGAAGTCACTCTCACTCCGAAAGTGCTTGCTGTAACTGCAGCTGCTTCAGTGATCACGCATCAGTTGTCTCTCAAAGGTAAGGCAGCAGCAGAAGTTGCTTAATTTGCAATAAATCACAATCCACTAACGTTACACTGAAGTTGCAAAACACCTCAATATTATCTATGATTTCCACGATGCAGAAAATGTGGACGGAATCGCGGAATCCAGTCATATAAATGGGATTTACTGCATGATGCGAAATGTCACGGAATTTGTCAAAGTTTATATGAATTAATCAAAAGTAGGTCAGTACACTTAAATAGAGTTGTGATATGGACTAGTATCTGTAAATATTAAGCCGCAAAAATACTATTTAAATATGAGTCCTGCATGTTCTGCGTGTCCCTGTGTATGTAAATGGCACAGACGTGCTTTTTTTTTGCGACAAGGAGCTATTTTAGCTATATTTAAATAAAACTAGCGATTCTTTGGAGATTTTTATTTTTTACTTGGCCACACCCTGCTGTAGGCCTGTGACCTCTCACGTTTGCTCTCAATCATGCCAAAAGGTGCATTCGACTTCATGCAGCACTGCGCAGACCGATCGGCGGCTGACTTGAAGCAGTGCATGCCGGTTAGAAATTTAGTCCGACTTGAACCGGCGCCGACGCCATGTCACTGTCACGTGTGGCATAAAAGTACAGCGATAGCGTTTCGAGAGCAGCCGGCTGACTCAGCTGGCACAGTTTCTCAAGAGCGACTGCAGGAGCGCTGATGACGACACAGCTGTTTCACGATTGGCCAAATTCACCATATGTTCATCTTCAAATCCAATTCTGCTCATAAATCTGTGTTTTTAGAACAGTAAAAGCTTTTTTACTGTAGTCGCAATGTATTATTGAGTCACGTTTAGCATGAAAGCATATATACCCCCACTTTATTGGTATTTAAATAGTATATATTTATGTTGAACTTTATTCCTGAACAGATGGCGCGGTATTAAGCAGTATATAAAAAGTGTTTCTGTTGCTCATGAAAACATTTCTGAAACGTCTGTGTATTTGACAAATATTGCATTTAATTCACTTAATCTGTGATGCTTAGTATGCAAACACCGCGTGCGTCACTAACGGGAGCAGAAATGTCCAGCTTGACGGCTCCGTTTTTCAACTCCGCCCTACACCCTCGTTGAATTACTGAAATAAATGAACTTTTCCATGACTTTCTAATTTATTGAGATGCACCTGTATATATATAAAGGCTGCAACAACTATTCGATAAAATCGATTATGAAAATCATCGACAACGATTCTCATTATCGATTAATCGGGTCTGCTCACAGTGCACGTCCAACGGAGTTTACATAATTTGTCCAACTTCAGCCGGTCGCGTCAAATTAAAGCACTGAATTACTTATTTCTATGGACAAAACGCATCTAAAATAGTGGTGGAAACGGAATGAGATGCTGCAGGAGAGTTATGTGATCCAAGCTACCCAAAACATGAGAATTCTTTATTTTAAGCTTTAAGCTAATGCATTAGCGTAATGGCTTGCCCTGTCAGGCGCTTTAACAGATGCGTGTGCGTCCTCGGCGCAAAAACACTTTCAGTTAACGGTCATATCCTTATGTATAAACGTCACAAATTCACGCAAGCATTTCCATTTTTGCATAAATTGTCCGTCCTGACAGTCTTGTGTTAAATTTTTATCTTTACTGAATGAGCGCCAGCGCGGCGGGCAACATGCATTGCGCATATTTTATGAGAGTAGGAACTGTAAGGGGATAACAGCGTGTAATTGTCTAAATATAAATATCAGACGCTTCGAAACCGCCTTTAACAGGATAAAGAAGTGACAGTAAGCCCTATTCGGAATCCATGAGTTTTTATCACTGAGGTGATAAGTACATTTATTTTTACAGACGTCCACATGAGAAACAATTACCGTCCGAATCGGGCTAAGACGTGACTGTGGTCAAAATGAACGTGTGTTCCTGCAGAACATTACTCTTACCTATTGGTTACCACTGAGTTTGTGATTTTATTCCGTCTTTATCATCTTTATTATTATTTACATTTTTAATGCAGAGATTTAAACTATATTCACTATATCCAATGCTTAAATTTATTAAAACAAATTTATGTAAGGTTTTTAACAAATTATGGTTTGTGCCACTGCTGCTCTAAACCAGTGGTGGAAAGAGTACTGACAAAATATACCGAAGTAAAAGTACCATTACCTTCCAAAAAATGTAGTGTGAGTAGAGTAAAAGTACTTGTCCAAAAAAAAACTACTTGAGTAAGAGTAAAAGAGTAGCCAATTTAAAAGTACTCATGAGTATTGAGTAGTGAGTACTGAGCTGTGGATTCTTCCCCTTCATAATAAACGCTGTACACCGCAATTTATACTTTTTAAAAATGTTGTACATTCTGTAATTCACATTATCTTGTTTGTCATAAAGAATGAAGAATATCTATCATCCAGCAGTTTTCATTTTGACTGCCAACTCTTTAAAATACATCAAAACAGCACAGAACAGTATTCAGTTGAAGAAAAGATGAAAGTTATTCTCAGTACAATCATCCCCATTTAAATCATAAAGTTTGAAATAATAGATTTAAAATCATGTGTAAGGCCACTGAGACAGAATATGCTGTTGTTGCACATAAAATATTAATGTTTAGAACAGTGCAAATACAAACACCATTAGAAACTCATTGCTCAGCATCACAAACCATGATATGGGTTAAAATGAGAGCCCATTTCTCTCCAAAACGGTGCCAGTTTTAGCGTTTTGCAATAAAGAAATAAGAATAACTAAACTTGATAATTTATGTTACAATTTTAACAAATGCACATTGTTCTAGAAGAATGGCATCATGCCATATACATTTACTCGAATTATTATGCTGATAATACAATTTGTAAGGAAAAATGCAATAAATAGCGAGGTATTTCTGGGGAAACTTTTTCAAAGGAACACACACGCACACGCATGTCTCTTTGCTGAGCCGCGGCGGTCTCGGTGAATCAGCAGCATCCACAACTGAACAGAACAAAAAGTGTTGAACTTGAAAATTGTTTATGCGCGACTGCACTTGCTAAATGAAGGCGGATTGTATAAAATGGAAAAAAAAAATTAAAAATTGATTAACGATCTGCAGTTTTATTACATCACGCGCTGGCACAGATGAAGTATATTAATGCCACGGGTCATCAATAAGGTGCAGATTGGTCCTCAATTTGTGTTTCCAACACACTTTTTCACAGCACGCATAACGCACTCAAACTCATCCAAAGTCAACAAGTTCAACAAGCAACAGCGGCTTATCCAAGTGACTGCTGCAGAATGCACACGAGAGAGAGAGAGAGAGA